TATTGATATTTAAAAAAAAGTTAAGAAAAGAATGATTTAATACATTATTTCAAATCATTATATAACATAATCTAATTATTTGTAAATTAAGAAAGTAATTTGTTTGTAATGTAAATGTCAAATAAAAGTTGATAATTTGATATATTCATTTCATCATTTTAAATTATATCATAAATATATAATAGAACTAATTCGTATTTTAATAAATAATTATATTATTAAACAAAGAAGTTATCATAATTTTAATTAAATTAGAAATAGTAACATTAAAACATTAAAATTAATTCATTCTTCTTATCATACAATACATAAAAAGAAAATTGGAATATCATTCATGTTTAACATTCAACACAATCAATCATTCAATTATTAAAAATAAAATTAATATGTTAGTATTCTTCAACTAATTAATTCATTTTTATCATATATTAAATATACTTGAAATAGTCATTACAACTAGATTATCAAATTGAAGTTATTTAATTATATCTGAAATATTATTAAATTGAAACATTCTTTATTTTGTTTATCATAATCACAACCAATAGATTCTAATTCAATTAACTAAGTTATTGATTTCATTAGATTAAATTTAGAATGAATAGAGATAGTGAATAAAATAAAGAAAGATATAATAAAAATAAAATAGAAATGAAAACATATTCATTCAGTTCATATTAATTAATAAGAGTCATGATAAAGAAGATTAAATGAAAAATTATTTAACTTATATATTATCTAAATATAACTTTAAACAAACAATTCATTTTTGAATTAGTTATGTTGGTGTTTGATGTTATTATTTAAACAAACTTTCATTTATCTTTGAAATATGAAATTGTAGAATATCAAACAGAAAATATTCAAAAGGAATTGAATTAAAAAGTGTTAACAATCCCAAATATAGCCAACCCGAGTAAAGTTGCATGCTTTAAGATCTTCTAAACTAATAAGGAAATTAGCAGTACCAGAATCTCCCCACATTATATATTCTAAATCATTTGGTCCTCCAGGAATAGTTCCAATTTGAAGAAGAGTTTCAGTAAGATCTTGGTCACTTGTTTCTCGAGGATCGTCTTGTGTAAATGCAGAATATCCA